GAATGAAGGAGGGAAGAACATAACTGAGAGATGAATGTGTGTGGCAAAGGATGAAATGGTGGCACTGATAGGTGTTACCCCAGGAAGTGTTGAAGAAAATGCTGAAAATAACTCCAGCAGAGTAAAAGGGTATATTAAACAGGTCAGCTAGAATCACAGACCACATTAGTATGGAAAGGCTGAAATGTAATCATCACAAGAACACATTTCCCTTCTGCTTTAGGGCTCAGTTGCTGTGTTGAGGTGTCTCCTGCTATGTGTTGAGGCAAGCAGTTTGTTGACTTAAGACCTGGAGAATATCCCTGAGCTGGGGTTTAGGATAAAGAATCATTTACTGGATTTGAGACTTTCCACTCTTAGATGGCTGAATATCACCTGCTACCCTTAACATACGTGAACAGACTGCATCATCAGTGTTGTTGGCAGTGTACTCTCTTCTGACATACTGCAGCATGAGTGTTAAAAGCCCCACGTGTGGATGAGGACATCATACTGGCAGATGTCTCTGGTGCTCCGTCTCTCAGTTTATCACTGGAGTAAGATACAAAGAGGCACAGGGGATATTACTATAAATTGGACACCATCTACAAAACCTGTGTGCCAAAAGTAGCATCCACTAATACTACAGTATCCAGATTAGAGGCCTTGATAAGAACTGGTTAAGAACTGTGCCACCATCTTTCATAATTCAATGCCTGAATGAACTTAGCAGAGGCTCTCTTAACTGAGAAGAGCCACTTCCTCACCAGTAGTCAAGTATAATTTTTCATAGTGCCTGACTGCACTAATTAAGTTTTCTCTGGTTTAGTAGAGCTTAACCTTGTTTCTTCCTCTCTGAAGAAAAACTGTGTTCAAAAAGGAGTGTAAAAATCATTTCCCCAGAGAGTTATTTCACTTCATTGTTTCTTTCAAGAGCAAGATCCAGGAAACAAGGAGAGGCTAGTGTCCTTGTAGAAAGCCTGGGGCAAGCTCTATGGTTCCAACAAATGCAGAAACTCACTGGAGCAAGCTTTTAACCCAATAGCATGAGAACTCCACTTTGCTGACTAGTGTTCAAAGTTATTGTTCATTACAGAAAACTCAATACAGTACATTTTAGCCCAATAAAGACTGCCTAAAGCCTCCAAAAGCAATTCAGAATACAGATTAGCAGACTTGCCAGCCACAAGGGTGTACCTAGCAGGGGCTGTTGGATTTTCCCTGTATGTTAGTGAAACATAAATCAGGCATGTAAAGCTCTGGATGGGAACACTCTTCCAACTGGGTGCAGACAATCCTTCCAATTCCTCCTTCAGAGGTGTCTGCACAGTGACCTGCCTTCTCTTAGATTTTCCCTCAGGATTCTCGTGTATTTTGGTTACTGTCTGATCCCTAGGACACAGGAATCAGCTCAATTTTCAGCAGAACTCCACAGCACAGTGTGCTGACCCTGTCCTTCAAGAAAACTTGCTGTTAGCTGGTTTGACAGGAGGAATCATCAATGACATAACTTTGACCAACAGGAATCGTTCTGCTGCTTTCTCCAGCATCCTCCTGATTTTGAATATACATCTTAACAGGCACAAAACAAAAGCACATCATGTGTAAAAGACAGGTATTTTTAGCAACGCTTCTGGTAAATACACCAAGTCCTATTTTTACTATCATAATGCTTAAGAGCATGCATTGAGATAGTCACTGCCTGCTCACACGTCTGTGACTGCATGCCACACTATTATAGGCTCACTCTCCTTCGGCCCTTGTGCTTTGTTCCTGAAACACTGCAATCAAATACATCCATCCACACAAAAAAGTTGGGTACTCTGAGACATAGTTGTCTGCATTTCGTTCCACCACTTCAAGCTCATGTTCCCTGTTACCTGCTTGATAATTAACAACTTCCTCTTCTTTTAAAGAAGATAGGAAAAGCCTGGCCTCTTCATGCATTTCTACAAGCTTAGGGCTAGAGCACTGTCCTCTGCTGTGCAGCAAGACAATAAATGACCTCCAGCCTTGAAGTGACACAGGTGGTCTAATAAAAGACTAGAGCCATTCAAAGTCTCTACCTCATACAGGACTCCTTAGATGAACAGTGGTACCCAACTGCTTTCACAGGACTTGCAAATTACAGTTGGCTCACCCTGTCCTTAGTGCACCTGGAGGCAGAAGTAGCACTTAGCTATTTTAACTGACTGAACGCACCAAAGTGACTAGGAAGTTTCTGGCAAGTGAGATCAGGGGGTGCAATTTCTTTCCAATAATAAGCTTCATGGGGTGTTTTGGCATAAGGTGCAAATACAATGTCAGGTACCACCGATTAGTTTCATACCAAAGCTTCTAAGAGATCAATAGAGTGAAAATACCAAGAAAAAAAAAAGAGACTAAACCCCTGCAGCAGTAGGAAACTGCATGTGGTTCTAGAGGTTAGGCTTCTTCAATTAACTGAGCATTTTCCAGAGCCTATAATGGTAGGGGGATGGGGAGTGCCTCTGGACAATAAGGGTGTAGAGAGAAAACTTACCTAGCAGGAGAAAAAAAATGCATATAGCTAAGAAGCTGTGGCTCAGTTCTTTCATTGCTTCAAGAACTTTGACTTCTTTACTTCATCTGCTCTTGACGGATTAAGACTCTGCATCACTAAGAAAGTCTGACCTCACTTGTGCTAGCCCACCTCCCATCTATCTGATCTGTTTAGTGCAAGACCGACCCAGCACCGTGACCTGCTCTCAACCAACCATCCATGTCTGATACAGACTCTACCCCAGCCACCTGCATTGAAAAGGCCAATTGCTACTGTAGCAAATGAAATAAAATTACTGGAGTGACTGTATGTGTTAAGATACTTTTAGGTACATAGGTCAGCACTAGATTACGATTATTCTGCTTTTACGTGATAAAGTTCATGGTTACTGCCACAGGCAAGACACCCCAGACACTTCCTGGATTGAGTATACTGTAACGAATAATGACTTCAATTTGAACATGCAATTCCAACAGGAGAAAAGATTTTTATGAAATAACTGTACAGGGATAGATGAAGGGGTTTAATACTGATTAATAGTGGAAAAGAAACAGTGTGAGTGGCAAAACAAATTGATGCATCTGACATTAATTGCTAGCCTGTAGTTTCTAAGACAGCAGCTTCCATATACAATACTTGTATCTTTGACAGCTAATTTTATCTAGATATATCCCCAAGCCCCTCATGATTACAGAGAACAATTTGAGGCATTACAACTTAAAAATATTATACCAGCTGTGTCAATTTTTCCCCTTTCAAATACCTCCACCTCTGAGCCGAAGCCCTGGATTTCCAAATGAGATTTTTTGATAATCAAGATGAAAATACCACAGCCAGCAAGTTTAACTCCTCTAGTGGAGCAACTGTAGCCTTGTAAAGGAGAAAAATCTTTACTGTTTCATTGCCTGGATCAAACACAACCATGGAACAACGCGCAAGGATTCTGTCTCTCAATGTTGGCACAGAAAGTCTGTTTCTAGAGAAAGTAGATATTCTGCTGCCACTTTTCTCCAGGAAAACAAAAAGCTCCTTTAATATTAAAATGCCCAACCTACTTTTTAAATTCCACTGAAATCTAAAATCCAGACTTCCTGCTGTATCTATTTTACCTTTTTTGCCTTCGTATGTTTCCAAGCTTGGACTGATTCACAGCTGCCTCACAGATTTGCAGACCCTTTTCTTCACAGCATCTAAGATACTCAGCTCACACTGTAGAATGATGAGCAGTCGGAACAGCTTCATGGTGAAGTGACTCTTGGTAATTAGAAAGTAAAAGCTACACAGACAAAACCACTGAAAACAGAAGTGACAGTACTCCTTTCTCCATTACCCACAAAAACCATCATTGTTCCTACGACTCACCAAAAAAACGTATGACACAAGTAGTTCATGTTACAGTGGCACAATTTTAAGCTCTATCTTGGCCTCCCTCAGAAGATTCTCCTTTTTGAATATGCCTCAGTATGCCACAGATTCTGCAAGGCTCTGTAGTCAGCTGAAGTATAGGGAAGAGGCAGCATTGTCCTCATATCTGCACCCCTCTCTTGGCCCTTGCTCTGTATTCACAGATAATGGAACTGACAAAGGTCCTCATAGTTCTGTAGTGCTTACTGGGTTCAGGCAATCCCCTGAAGATGACGTAACAGGATACCCTAAATTTCACTAAGGAAATCTGTAGACTGCAACCCTGGCAACTTCACAGGACAGCTAACTTTCTGCAAAGGACAGAGCTGCTTCAAGTGGGCACCAGTTTAATAGATGTTTTCTCATTTCTGGGTCTCTCACTTAAGTTATCTTGTTTTCTGAAACTTCCCTCTATAGGTAAAGCAATCAGTGTATAACTGTATTAGTCAAGCCATGGAGATATAAGAATACATAAGGACTATTTTTCTCTTCAAGTTACTTTATCATGGTAGCATAATCACAATTCCAAAATAATTTATCTTAAGAAACAGATTTTCTTTCAGCAAGGAGCTGGAATTCGTCACCACAGATAAAAACATTAAAAAACAAACCACACCTCCCCAAAAAATTAAACACACCAAGTACTGAAAAAGTCATAACTAGAAAAATATGACTTTTTAAACTGAATTGTCATTGCAGACAATGCTTTGCATCTGAAATATCCAGACAACTTAGAAGACTTTTGTCTGTTAAAAAAAGTGTTTGATACAATTGTTTTTTCCCCATTTGAATTCCTTTTCATATTTCACAAAACAAAATAAGACGCAGGCATACTATACCTAAAGACTTGAGACCAGGCGATACTACAATAGCAAACAGTACATTAGCAATGTCCCTGCATTCAGGTATAAAATAAAAAATAAAAAAAAAAACCAAACAACCCCCCCCCCAAAAAAAAACAAGAAAAAACTGATGCATTTGGTAAATTCATATCTATTTTGATGGACAAAGTAACTTTTGTCTTTCATTAAAGTCAAATATAGTACCTGCACAAAACAAAAAAAAAAATCACAAATGCTGATAGAGTGTGCATCTCTTGATGACTCTGGTTTGATATTTATTTAAAGGAAGCACAGAAATAGGGAAGAGCAATTCCTATGCACTTAACGCATCAAGGAAGTCTTATGTCTGATTTTGACCTGACACAGGAACAGAAATACAAGATAAAAATCACTGTTCAACAACATTGCTTTTTCATCACTAGGGCTGACACTCCTAAAAGGCAACCGCAGAAATCCAGAAAAAATTAGGTTTCAAGATAAGTAAAGAAATTAAAGGTCAGGCAGTTCCTGGTATGGCCAAAATCAGACCCTTGCAGTTCTGAGAAACAAGATTCCTCATTCTGCCTCAAGTCGAGGTAAGACTGGAAGAATAAGATTTCCAAATGCAGAGTCTTGAGTTATGAAGTATCCTGAGGAATGTGCATGTGCGTGCTGGAAAGAGAAAAACAGTTGTTAATGCATAACTCCTTGCAGCACTGATATAATTTAAGACTTCACAGTTTCTGCAGTATCGATTATTTATCTCTCCCAGTCTGGTCCTCAACTCTAATAGTAAAGTTCAAAATTAGCAATTTTAGCTCAGCTCCACCTGAACAGTGCCAATCAAGGAAATTAAGTTGACCGTTCTCAGCTGCTCCTTTTTCAGCAAATCCCATGGATGAAGGCAGCGTGGTAAATGAACTCCTGGTTGCTGTCCTGTTCCTAGACCCCATGTTTTCACTCTCATCTATCCAACTTACAGGTCTTGGTTTGTGACAGATGCCACATTCGACTACCAGAAGTGTGTATCAGTAGCGTCACACAACCTTAGGTTGCATGTACAAGATACATGTGAGCAGATACACTCCTGTACAACACGGGACACCAGCATTCTGCACACAATTTATACATGCTCTTTCACCTGAGAAAGTCAGCTACTGATTATGGCTCTGGACAACCTTTGCAATATCCTACACAGACGTTCCCAGTTCAAACAGTGGGGTAAGTTAGACTGCCTGCATCTTCCTTACTTACACCATTAGGGAGAAGCCCTAGTGGGTATCAGCCAGTAGTGTGCTGGCACACCACAAGCTAGCAGCACAGTGGGATGCATCAGCAACAGCACAGCCAGCAGGCCCAGGGAAGCTATCCATGAAGCTGCATTTGCAATATTGTGTTCGGTTTGAGGCACAAAGTGCATCAAGTCCAACAGAGACCCAAAGAGACAGCTGAGGGCAGGGCTGGAGCTCTCAATGTCCACGGGATGGTGAGAGACCTGAGCTTCTTGTAAGAGGAGAAAGCTGAGGGGAGATCTTAAGCTGTTTTCAGATACCCAGTGACAGGATACAGCGAAAACAGAGCCAGATTCAGAGCCAAGAAAGGCTGCAAGGAGTCCATGCCTGAAAAACTTCAAAACTTGATTGGACCATGCCCTCAACAATGTGATACAGCACTACTGTGAGTCATGCTTTGAGCAGGGCACTGGACCAGCAACCTACAGAGGATCCTTTCAGCTTACAATGTTCTATGATCAACAGAAGACACCAACCAGAGCTCACTTCTGCTCCTATTCATTTTAGGAGAAGCAATCTGGGGCCTTTACTAGTAAACAGAAACACAAGAGGGCATAAGGATATGTGAACAGGGTTGCTAGTTGCATCTGAATGTTTTTTCCTATTCCTGTGCCCTCTGCTGAATCATGCTCTCTGGAGTGCCAGGAAGGCAGGAGGCCATGTACTGGCATTCCTGCTCAATTTCCAATTTCAACAACAACAACAACAACAACAACAACAACAAAAAAAATCAACCTCATCTGACATCAGCAAAACAGCAGCAAATAGAGGCCTGTAAATGTACAAGTAATTTTCCAAATCTTTCACCCTATCACTTGTAACTGTAGAGTATTTACCTGGCATCTACTCAGATTCAGCCAAGGAAAGCTGTGTGGCTAGTTCTCCCTAAACTTCATGAGACACTGAGAAGTACAGTGAAACTGACTCTTCACTAAGATGTATAGGACACATGTGATGACATTGTAGGCTACATTCTTACAACCATATCAAGGGATAATGAGCTGGTAGATTTAAGCTTTCGTAACAGAAGAAAAAACTTCATTTGTGACAAATACAGAAATGTATGAAACCTAACCTCTAAAAGGGACTTTTCATTCTCTCGAGGCACAGAAGGGATCTAAAACAGAGCCAAGCTAAACTCTACCTGACTGTACCAGCTTACCTGCAGTGCAGCCTTCTGTTGTGCTGCGATGTGTTGCTGCTCAGCATGATCACGAAAATCCTTGTTCAGAGGTGATCTTGCAAGTGCAATGCTGCAAAAAGGAACAAGGTGGTATGAAAAACACCACCAAAAAAGTATGTTCTTGCCATTTTAGCTATAGATTTCAAGACTTACACCCCTCACAATTTATTTGACTCACAGCTTGACAACTCTCGTTTGGAATTACTATTTGTTAACATAGGAGAGAAAAGGAAAATGGAGTGCCCATAGTATCATTTGACTTAGCATAAATACCTGATGCTAAACTAAACCCAGGAGACTCACAGTCCTGAAGCCTGTTGTGGATTTCACTCATGGAAGTCAGTGGAACCACTAGGGTGCAACATTAGACAAGGTCAGCATTTTTAAAACAATGGCTTTCTGTTTTCACCATTACTCAGTCACTCAGTGACTGTCCTAAACAACTGCGATAAACAGAAGGACTAGCAAGAGCTCTGCAGTCTTCAATATAAGACCAGTTTTTCAGCAGGTGGGCAGCAGATCACTGCTTATGTTAAAGGAGCTTCCTATAATTAAGAATTCCTAAAATTATTTTGCTTATGTAAGTGCAGCATATATTAGGTTTCAAATTCAAATTTTAAATCTTTTTCCCTGGCTTTTATATCTCAAGATTTGTCTACCTTGTAACCAAAAAAAGAAGAAATGAAAAGCAGACTTCTTTTGCCCCTCAGTTCTACGTAAGTAACAGGATCAGCCATCCTCCAGATAGAAATCAATAAGGACTGCCATTAAAGCTATATTGTAAGGCAATTCACAACTACTGAAACTGGCTCTACAGACTGGGTGCTGAAAGCCTCTCTCCTCCTCAGTTACAAAGGTATGAAGGACAACAAAAGAATCAAGCAAACTCATCAAAACTGAACCTTCTCATCAGCTTTAATGTCAACAGCTAATTTAGTACTTCATTTTTCAAAAGCAGCCATGCTCATGAAAAAACCTTTAGCAAATCTATGCCTAAATACATAATGAAAGCTAAGAAACAATCCTCCAAACAGATTTTAAGACAAATGTTAAGTTAAACTTCACTGCTGGGAAAAAAAAAAGTACTGCTCCATTTATTTAAAACATAATGTTTTCAGTTATTTTGAAGGTATTTGTTTTGCATTTAATTCTGTACCCTCTAATTTTTCAGTATGATTTCTGCAGATAATCTTAAGCCTTCATCATAAGCTGACACTTTTAAAGACAGACCTTCTGTTGTTGGACAGCAGATTCCCATATGCCAAGGCCAGAAATCATCAATTCATTTACCCTTAGGCTGGCCATGCCACTATTGTGCTATAGGTACATCAAGCACTTTTCTGCCAAGTCTGCAGTGTTTCTGTGGTCTCATTTCTGGCAACTCTGTGGTCCCAAACCTTTAGCAAACATCTCTGTCACAGACTGTCAGCTGCTCAAAAACGACACATCACCCCATCATGCCAAAGCAGAGAGTTTGACTGCAGCTTTGTAGGTTCCCTTCCATCCCTACTTTCAAAATTAGTAAATTCCAATTCTGCTCATGAGCATACAGTGTTATTTTTCCATAAAGAAAAAATAAGGCAAACAAGCACTCCCTGAAACTCTGCCAGACTTCTAACGGAGCACTGAAACACTGTTGCCTGGAGTCAGGATTTGTAGGTAGCAGTATGATATTCCTATTTTCCTCTCTCATCAATAATTTTGCTTGTATAGTAACTGTATACAGAGATACTCAGAGATCTAACTCCGGAAATTTCAAATATTCTGTAAGTTTTTTGACAGTCTGAATGAACTAAAGGTGACCTAAAATCTCCTTGAAAAACAAATACAGGCGGCACTCAAGACTGCGACTCTTGCACAGATACTTCATGGAACACACTGAATCTAAAATAGGTCCCTGTGCTCACTTCATGCTAACCCAAAAGTTCCAAGTATCTCAATTCCTCCATGTAAACCAGTGTGAGATTTTATAATTACTGATTTATGACCAAAATCTGATCTTTTTTCTTTTAGATGGGGGAAACCCCAGTGGCAGCTCTTAAGATTATTACACTTTATGGTGTAGAATCATCCTTACAACACGGTATTTTTTACCAGATCAGCAGTAACATAAAATGGCTTTGTCTTGCACAGAGGGGGTTTCAAGGATAACTCACTTTCTAACTGTTCTTTCTAAACACACAGTACCATGAACCTAATGGTCTGCTACTTCCATTTCTTAGGGCATTTCAGCTTAATAATTAAATGCTTTCTCAGTGCCTGCTCCCGATTTTTCTTTAAGGTAGACTTTAATACAGTTTAGTGAACATGCTTCTGTCCTTCTCAAATGGAAATGATGTAAGCCAAAATTCAGGGTCTGTAAATAATTTTAAGTATTAGTATGCTGCTAAAGTGCAAAGTTACTGAGGATGGTCAGAAAACACTTCTGGTAAGTATTTATGTAAGTTTACAGCTCACTTGATTTTTTTTTTTTCCTCTCCGCTTTTGATGTAATCAGTGATTTCCAAACACATCTAAGAACATAAAATACCTGGCTCCAGGGTGATTTGTGGAAGACTGGTTTTGCATAAGTAACTTTCTCTTCTCCTTGTCTAGTTCTGCCAGGATTGCAACCCTATTTTTATTCTGGAAACCTGGTGGGAATGACAGAAAAATATTAGAGAGATTTACGTGATTTCTACATCTCAACTCTAACCTTGTGAAATTACAAGTCTCTGTTCAATATGACATTAAGATGAATACACTAATCTTCAAAGCTTTGCACCCATCTGAAAGGCTATTAATAAATAGGTTTCATTTTTCCTTTTCTCATTTTACAATACAAAGTAGCTTCCTTAAGCTATCATACATATTAATACATTTTAAAATACAAGTTTCTATCTCAGGTTAGATCCTACCCTTTCCCGGGACACCTCTGGAGCTATAAACAACATCTGCCATGAAATACTTGCCTTTCAAAAAAAGTAAACTTACCAGGTTCTAGATTTAAAATGCAATCACTCAGCATACAACTAAATGATAATAGTGGAGTAATATACTCACAAGGCCTGACTCCTCATGCCAGTGAACTCAAGCTATAATACAAGTTTCACATATGTAACAGTGAGACTATCTTACACAGGCTTATGCAAAAAAAAACAAAACACCTTTTATTCAATCTATGCAGAAAGGTGTTAGTATACTGATGTCCTTATATATACACACACTACCCTTATTCTGACAACAGTGGAAGATGACCACAGCACTGGAACAGAGAAGCAAAATTTGACTGGACACAATACAAGAGTGCAACCTTTATTTGCTTTGTACATCATTCTCCCAAAGGGACCGTGCATACTAAAGAAGTCAAGAATTACAGGAAGTGACAGGTAATTTAGAAAATGCCTAGAATAGCTGCCATTTGTGCATTTTCGCAGTTGCCTTCTAAATAAAAATGTAGCAAACTTGCTGTACGGACACAAGACTCTTCTGTGGTAAAGGATCTCGCTGTGGCCACCGGACAGACAAGATCCACAAGTCCCTGATGTTGCCCAGTATGCCCGTACAGAACAACTGAGGACAACAGCTACAGGGCTAACTCTTAACAAACCTCTATACCAAAAAGGACACTCTTCATGTCAAGAATATACACTTCATTTTATCTATAATGGTGCTGCTACCCTATAAATATGAAGCCCCTACACTGAGATGTAAAAGTTAAGTTATCTCTTTTATTTCATCCATACAAAATGTCAAAGTCATTCGTGCTGGGAACTGCTGCGTGTTGTGTCCTTGCCCTGAGTACTATTTTAATAACGCCACCAAAAAATGGTAGCCCACAAGCTTGTTAGGAAAGCCAGACGCTGTAACTCTTAAGGGGTGCATTAGCATGTCAAGTAACAATTTCAAATTTATTTTCAGTAGCTGCACTCGAAGTTCATTCCCTTTGAGAGATCTTCTGTTGCTGCTCAATTACACAATCCAATATTCCTTGCATATGGCTCAATGAAGGAGACAAATATCAGCTAGAAACCTTCAACTCTAAACAATAATTTGCATCCTTGTTGCCTTGCTATAAACCCCTCACCTCTTCCATTTATTATGACTAACACATGCACTCCTGAGCCAGTGTCTTGGCGCTCTCAAAAAGAGCAGACCAATTTGATTACATTTTACTGTGGTTTTGTGCAAGATCATCCATTATCACCTTTGCATCTGCTAATGGATTTTTAAGTTGAATTTAATGAAATGCTATTTTCCCATCTGTTAATCTCTCCCATGAAAAATACCTCTCTGTTCTGTAAGTGTACCGATTCAGGTCTTCAATGTTTCTCTGTTCTTCAGGCATTATACACTATCTTTTTATTAACACCCTTGCAATGACATTGAAACATTAAAACCCAGCTGAATGTGTGGTCTAAGAGGTATAAAGGCTGAGAAATCTTGCCAACAAGGTAAAACTTAACATGTCCAAGTCACAGCTAGCCCAGAAGTTACTGTCTTGTAAATTCTGGAGACAGTGATGTAATAGGATGACCGAAATGCCTCTAAGAGGGTCTGAGCTAAAGTGATCATGTATGTATGCTCATTCTACAGTTTTCAGCCAAAAGCTTAATATTTGATATATTATTCAGAAGCCTTCTGCTAGTGCTTATCTATCCTGAAATGCATACATCTAAATATATGCCTTTAATTCAGACTATATGGTTACTGAGGCAAGGAAAAGGAGACCACTTTTTAATGTAAGTTGCTCTCAAATAAAATATAAAGACTAAATACGCTTACATTTATTATGAAGCGGACAGTGTGATTCAGAAAGGCTTGAGATGTGTAAGAATAGTATTTTAAATGCTGGTTTTAAACTGAAATCAGAAACAGTGCAAGATTATCACTGTCTTCTATTTTAGTATGAGTCTTGCTATAGTATCTTATGGCAGAAACTCTAGAGGAATTCAGAAAAAAAAAACAAGTATTTTTTTCTTCCTTTTCTCATCCCTCTACTAAATGTTTTTTTTCTGCCTTTTTTTTTTTTTAAGTAGCACTCTACTCTAGAATTCAGACAGTGCCCATCAGCAACCTGCTGTACTGAAAAGTGATTTATTTAAAGTAACGCTAAGTACAAAAAAAGGCCTACTTGAGAAAATGGTGGAGGACACCCAACACATACATGTTAGTGCTCCTCAGCTGAGCCATGTGAAATTCCTACAGGTATTTTAAACTCTTAAAATGTAAATAAAACACGTTCATGTAAGAGTTAACAACGGAGAGGGTCGGATACGAAAAATCCATTTTTAAGAGAGAAAAATCTGTCATCCTTACAAAATAATTCATCACACCTGACAATACATATTCAAAACTTCCATTTATATTCTTCCCTACTCAGGACCCCAAAGTGCTTCATTAAAGACCAACTTGAAAGAGCTACAGAAGTTGTCTTTTTGTTTTCAGTTATAATGAAAGGAATTTTCCATCTGTAGATTTGATATGTCTGTTCTGCTTTCTAGCACTAAAAATGCAGACATGAAACAAAAAAGCCATCCTTAGAATAGACTGGATTCTCACCTGTGAAAGGAAGCGTAGATTTTCAAACATAGCAGCTTCTTAATAAAGCTTCAAGTTCAAACTTAACTTGGCCAAGTTGCAGTACTATTTTGAGTTCAAACAGTTCACGAATATCGCAGTTCACTAATATTCTTCTCTGCCTTGTAGACACAAGAGGTTCAACACAAAATGACCCGTTCAAGGCAGCTAAAACAGATTAATGGCAGTGTCAGATGTCAAACTGAGCACCTGGATCTTCAGATTACTCTCTAAGTAGCAGATTAAAATTTAAACCTGTTCTTTCCGACACCTTTATTTCTGACATCAGGAACTGTATTACATGCTCTGTGCAGGAGCTAGAAGTTTACTTGCACAGAAGTTTTGCATGTGAAAGAAAACCAGAGAAAGTTGAAGCCTTGATGAGCGATCTGGTAGCTTTATGAGCTCACAGCAAGCTTCACTCTTTAACCTAATCCTAATACCCAATCCTACTACCCTACCTCATTGATATATATGTCAGTTCTACCAGCTAACTCTGAATGGCAAGAAACAGCATTACCTTTATCTACTCGCTTTTCATCTTGTAATATTTTCCCTCATCTGCTGATTGCTTCAAATTCATGGTATATATATGTTTTTTCTAATATGCATTTATCATTTGTCCATGGATGTGTAACAGCACAAAAGAGCCCTCCACCACTCTGTGCTCAAGATACACTTCTTATTTGGAAAAAATGGTTTCAAAGCTGGATGTCTGCTCTAAGCTCTGCACATTAAAAAGCACTGTCATTACACTGCTCTGCTTGCTCAATTCAGAAAGCATTTTCACAGTAATTTCTTTATTGAAGTACCTGCTTTCATAAATGGTGAGGCAGCAACCTCTTAAAAAGCAGAATCTAAAGACCTATTAAACACACAAAGGTTGTGAAAAGGATGAAATAACTATATTTTGATTTTCTCTTCTGCTTATGACTATTGGCATCACAAAATTCACCTAACAGTCTGCTACACATCAATACAATTTAGTAAAAGTCGACATTCAGATAGGCTTTCATTTACATTGTGCGACAGCAAAACAAGAGGCATACTAGTAATTTTGTAAATTAACTCTAATTACCAAAATGTGTATCAATATATTTTGTTTGCCTTCCAGAAAACAGCTACATACACAACTGAACATAACTTAATGACTGCTTTATGTCCACAGAGTTCTCCAGAGAATAGATATGCTAAAGCCCTCAAGTTCTATGCTTGCACAGAAACCAGACCTGTATGCACAGCAGCAAAGTTTGCAGATGATGACATAATGCAAGGCAGAATAGCACAATCTTGCCTTTTAACACACTCTGTAAACAGAATGCTAAATCTAGCTGCTCAGACTGTGTAACATGAATGCACACACATACCTTTAGGCCAAAAGGATAAACAACCACCAGGATAGAAGCAGACCTTGTCGAAGTCTTTAATTTAGTAGCACGTAAGGTATGCTGTAGCCTTGCTGTGCACAAGCAAAAGCATAAGAGCAGCCTTATTAATGCATGTTGTGTAAGTACTGTGAAGTATTGCTGCAGAAGCAGTGTATTACCAAGCACCTGAAAGTAATTTTTGTAATTTAAAAGTTGATTTCCCCCACCACCAAGATGTACCTCTCTGGTCTATGAGCTCATCTTGTAGACAATATGCAGCATGTTAAAAGCTTTTCTGTTTCTTTTAAATGCTGTAATGAGTCTCATACAATTGGTGCAATCAGTTCCATGTGGCACTAAAGGTCTGAAGTAAGGCTTTCATTCAATTCTATTTGGTGTTGCTATGCTCATATAAGTTCTCATCTTTGAAATTCTAATCAAAAGAGTGCTTTCCTAAGAGGCCAGTGAATTAAAAAGTCCAGTCCTCAAAATATTAACCTTTGTATTCCAAAATCTGCAGCTAACAGAGAACTTAATTAACTTCTAGGGAAACACCCCATTGTGATTAAAAGGAAAGAAACACCTCAGTACAAAAAATTACAAACACAGTCTACCTGCATTGAAGGCTAATGTTTAATTCACCCTTGCAGTCTGAGTAGGTGCTACCATTTGTAACACTTTCAGTGTTTCAGTAAACCCCTACTTCTTTTGTCCAAGAAGAGAAAAATGAGAACAAATTGCCTGAACAGTACCAATATATGTGCCACGCAGGAAGCTGAAAATGTAGTAGTTGTCTCAATCATTTTGACTTCAGGTATGCATCTGGCCAAGAGAAAGACAGAGGCCTTGAATGGTTGCTCATGTTTACCTGTAATTTTCCTAGGTGTATTATTAATCAGCTCATTTGGCTACTTAAACTTGATGGTGTTTCTTGCCTGCTTAGTGCAAATAATTTTCATATTAACACAGTTCCTTTAGCGAGTCTCTAAAGAGTATCGCAAAGTATAAAAGCAGGTCGCAAGGCTCTATTACATTAAAAGCCTCTGGAGTTTGGAAGGAAGCAAAGACATTCTGGCATGGAAATCTCATTCTACTTCTCAGTAAATTCATGTATTTAAGAAGTAGATTTTGACTCTATATGACACCACTGTATCCCTTGCAGTGATGCTGACTTAATATTCACAGAATAAAGTAAGATTTACCGTTACATACCAAAAACTTCTCAGAGACTGAACTGCAACTCTCTGCAATCTGCAATACTTTTCTCAACACTTCACAAAAGCTCAATAAGCATTCAAAAACCCTATCTTCTTTTGTCAAGTGTCTGTCTTTTAGATTAACACATTTATTCTGTATTTATTTTGAAAGCAGAGGGTCACTGGGAGGGATGACCACAGAAGTGATCTGGTACTCCTTCAAAGCATCAGCATTTCCAAATTAAGTTACACACAGCCTTGTAGGACTGCTTTCTGGGTATGGATACTCACACACAAATGTGCGTGAAGAATGTTCTGGTTGCTGGGAAACTGAATTCCAAAATCATTTCTCATAACCAGTTAGTGAAGAGCCATACCTAATAGGCTTGTTTCTCCTGAGCATTTCCGCAGGCAATGCTCAGAGTTCCACTAAGATTTCCAAAAAGCCCTCTAGAGGGCGATTTAAGACTCTCCTTTAATTTATCGAGTGACCTCCTCCAAGACCGTCAGCTCCCTCTAATGCACTTGCCTCGGACAGACAGATGGACCATTTCCACATCTTGAATGATTTTATGGATGCAGTTCAGATGTGTCATCGTGCAATGAAGCATTTCATAGGAGTTAGCATTATGATTTCATCTGGCTTTTCTTCCTAAACCAGGACAGTTGCAATCTATTTTTGATGGGGAATTGCTGTCTGGGTCTTGCTGTTCTCATAACAGGGAGTATATCAGATTTCTGGTTGCTCCTGATGCCACAAGTCATGTTCAGTGCTAAGCACTGTGTCTAAAATATGCTTCAGGCAACAACCACAGGCACGATAGGTACTTCACAACCTGAGCATGAAGGAATGCACAGTAACAGACCTCCCCAGCCATAAGTGGACTTTTAATATATATGCCTTCTTCCAGGTGGCTTGCTCACTTGCTACTTTCAGCTCTACCTTCTTTTGTCTCTTCCCCTTTTTGCTCCTTCTATAAACTTACAGTTTTGGTGACTTCACTGGCATCTTGCTTAAGCCTTTCCCCAGGAATACTTAGATTAAAACCTACCTTGTCCTGACGGATTTGCTGCCATCCTTTAATTTTCAGTCCTTGTTTTATTCAGCTTCAGTTCAACTCTTTTAACCCCACAAATATCTGCAAAACAGGCACAGTAAGATCAACGTATTTCTTTAAAAGAAAAGCTTGCATTTCGTTGTCACCGAGTTCAGAAACACAGCAACTGTTGCAAAATATAAGCCAAATACATTATGCATATTGCTTAAAATACATAAATACTATTTATATTGTTCTGATTGAAATTTTTAGTTTCAAATATGAAGCACTATGATCAATTTCTACCAGGGACATGTAGTGATAGGATGGCTTTAAACTGAAACAGGGCAGATTTAAGTTACTGTAAGGAAGCAGTTCTTTACTGTGAGGGTGGTGAAATACTGGTAACAAGTTGCCCAGAGAAGTTATCGCTGCCTAATCCCTAGCAGTATTCAAGCCCAGGTTGAACAGGGCCTTGAGCAACCTGGTCTAGTGGGAGGTGTCCCTGCCCATGGCAGGAGCCTTGGAATTGGATGAGCTTTCTCTTCCAACCCAAACCATTCTATTATTCTATGATCACATTTTATTTATTTTTTTAATATATTTTAGTAACTGAAGAATAACCTTTAGAGTCATTCTAGAGTTATACACACCTTTTCCCGAACTTCTTTCTGTCAAAGCATGTCAGACTACACTTAAGAATCACACTAAAGTATTATACTCCTTAAATGCTAAAGCCCTCAGTTTAAGCTCCAACTGAAAAAAAATACCAAAAAAAAAAAAAAAAACCCACAAAAAACCAAACTGATTATTTGAGGAAAGATAATTTACATCCCAGCTACATAGCCTGCTGAAGGCCACCATCTTCACAGCTGTGGCTGCGATACAATGAGGGATGCCCGCTCCTCAGCCATACATCACCTCGGGCCACCATCAACTTCTGCTTCCATTAAGGTGCCTGGCTATGAAGCGCAGCGCCAAGGGCTCCAGCTCAGCCGGGTGGAGGGCAGGGATGGGAGCACCGAGTCCTGCGGGAAACGGCAATCGGAAGCCTCGGTCGGATTTCAACGGGAGACCAGGGTAACAGTTATACCCCGGGACGGCGTGCCCCTGAGCAGCCACGACAGCACAGCAAAGAACTAATTCAACAACGGCGTTAACGCAGAGCCGTGACACGGCTCAGAACGGCCTGACCCGCACCGCGGCCAGGCCCCGCTGTGTCCTAGACCCCTGCTGCCGCGCCGCGGGCAGGCCGGTACCAGGCGCGGAGGTACCCGGAGCTCTACTCCCTACCCATCCCCCGCCTTCCCACCCCCCCGCGGTAATGGACTCCCCCACCCACCTGCTCTCCCCCTGCCCGCCTACCCGCCCCTAGCCGCAGCCCGGCGGCACCGCGGCCATGCCACCCCACCCCTTCCCAACTCGTTTTTCCCCGCCCAGCCCCGCCGCAGCCAATAAGCTGGCGGCAGCCTGACGACACAACGCTGCGCGCCCCTTCCCCACGGCCCGGATGGTCGAAATGTCCTATCCGCTTCAAGAGGGGGGTGAGGAGGACCCGCCCCCAGCGTCCGCGCAGCGGGAGGGGCCCGGGATGGCGGCCTGGTGGAGCGGGGCGGGGCGGGGCCTGCCTGGAGGGTCGGAGGCATAGGGCAGGGATGAGGCAGGGTGAGGTTTAGGGTAGGCCTCGTAAGTGGGGCTCTTGGAAGAGGTGTCGGCATGGGGTGTGGGAACGGTTCAGCGCCGAAGTGTGAGGATCACCCCTGGATCACACTTAAGGGGTCTTCAGGCATCAGCATACTTAAATGGAGAAAGGAAAAGGAAGAAAAGTAGAAGGGAAGGGTTGTTCAGTTTTTTATCATAGCCACAGTTAGAATTTGAATTCTGTGGGGGTAACTATTTGGCATGAATTCCAGAAGGGGTTGTGCACTGACGTTACTAATGCACGTTTTGTTTTTGAAATGTCAGGAACAGCTTCCACTAGACCAGGTTGCTCAAAGCTCTGTTCGGTCTGGCCTTGAACACTGCCATCAATGGGGCAGCCACATCTGCTCTGGGCAACCTGTGCCAGTGCCTCACCACCGTTACAGTAAAGAACTTCTTCCTTATTTCCAGTCTGAACTTAATGCTGTTCTAAGTTTAAACCCATTATCTCATGCCCTATCACTACACTCCCTGATGAAGAGTCCCTCTCCTACATCCTTGTAGCCCCCCTTCAGATTTTGGAAGACTGCTATAAGGTCTATAACTGAGACTGTATTTTCTTATGCAGTCAGGCCTGTCCTGGAGAATAGGCCTTTTATTTTATGTTCTTGAGGTTAAAATACTGAAGTTTAACTCAGATCAAGCTGAGTAGTGATTTAAACTGTGGCCCTTAACAGCTGAACTTCTTATACATGAGTAAAATCACTTACTAAGAACTGCAACCAATAAATAACAGGCTGCAAACAGGGAGGGGGGCAACACTGAGCTTGAGCTAGCCAAGAAATCAGTCACATTGTGTACTTCAATTTTATACACAGGGTTTTTGCAAGGCACTGAATGGTTTTCATGAAATAAAGGCCTTTTTAATTTAGAACCAAATTTAAAGATAAGCACAGAAAATCAGGTTGTTGGGTTGGGTTTTTTTTTCTCTGCACAAAGTGCAAAGTGCCTGCACAAACTGTCTCTAGGTGCATACACTTTTGTTGCAGGATATTAAACTTTTTGTTACTGAGATTTTGGTGGTGTATGCAACACACATTTCTGAGCAAATGACCCTTATGGCAAGAGAGATCTTGGATCTGTTAGTCAAACCTTCTTTAAACCACAGAAGATTTCATCTGCTGCTTCTTCCATCAAGTCTCAGATGTCCATAACCTCATCACTCCCCAGGCATAAAGTGGAAAAAGAGCTTATTAAAAACCGTTGTTTTAGTTACGATGGAATTATTTATATTGGTAGGAATATACACATAGTGTACACAGTGGTAAATGTCACACTAGCCTGTTAGCTTGTACAGCCAAATACATGCATAACTTTAAAGGCAGTTAATTTTTTAATGTCTGCAGCAGCCAGCTATACTAGATGATGCAGAAACAAATCACATTTTTGAGAGTGTACAGAATGTATGAGAATCCAACCAGTATTTATAGTTGAATCAAATTCTGTGAGGTATGTTCTGCTAACCAAATATGCTCTCTGTCTATGCATTTTTACTTTTCAAAGCCTCACTAAGTGTTCATAAAACTGAACAAATTTATGTCTAGAGACTTGTAACATCCAGATTTAGAACTTGGTTAGCTAGATTGTGTGCCCGGTAAAACCAGTCTCTCTGTGTTTGTGTGTGTTAATGAAAACCCAGACCAGCACCTGAGCAACCAGCAAACATCTGACAATCTCAGGGAATTTTCTGTTTCCCTTAAAGCTGTGTTAATTAATACTGTGGAGGGGAAGCATTGCTGCTTTTCCCACGTATGACCATTATTTTCAACTATTTGCCTGAAGATGCTGGTTGAACACCTCCCCTCCGTCTGATGTTTTGTTTTGGTGTGGTTTTGGTTTTTTTTGGGTTTTTCACTGTGGTTTGATGGTTTGTTGTTTGGTTTGTTTTTTTTGGGGGGGGGAAGGTATTTTGGTTTGGTTTTTTTTTCTGTTGTTTTCTCTTTTCCATTTTTGTTATTTCTCATTGTGACTTAAGAACTGCCATATGTGCTTTCTCCCCACTCACAACTCCCCCTTTTAATTATTCTCTCTTGGATGATTTTCAGTCCATTTTACCTAGACATCATGCTTGTAATTCTTCTGAGAAGCACTGCGGGTGAAAAGTGGTGCACTGCCTAAGCTAATAATCCTACCTGATGCATTTCTTTGCATTGTCATGCTGGGTCTGAGGATGTAAGTGATTCTAAAAAGCTGCAGTTTGAGACAGACAGGTTTAGCTGATGGGCTGTTATTTGACACAGCTAACACTGATAAGAATAATTAAGTGTGGTCTTGGCTAGGGATCAAGTGAGAAAGGTAGAAAAGGAAGAAGTAGCAGGGCAAGGGCAATCATCAGCAAGGCAGCTTGGCTGCAGAAAGGTTGGTTGGGACTGATTAATTCTACAGTTCTGCACAAGAGTGATGAAAATTGATATTTTTAGTAACTTTTGAGCATCTCTATGAATACACAGTCCTGCCCGAAGTCAAATGATCCTTTGGCTTTGGGATGAATTTTGTATCAGTAAATTAATTTTCTCTTTGGGTTGCAGAAACAGGAAGGGATGTCGCCTTTTAAAGAAATGAAGTCTAATCTCTTGTGTATCAGAATACTTCCATTTTCCCTTGTTCACCATAATAGAATAAAAAAATTGAAAAAAAAAAATCATTTCTAGCATGTCTATTGGAGTGTCATTACAAAATCTTCAGTTTTTTAAAAAAGGCTCTTCTTGAACATTGCCTCACTAATCTGGCCATGCTGCTTCTTGAGCCAAAAAAGTGCTGGTTTTCAGGCTGGCTGCTCTCATCATCTTGGTGTAGATGGAGCTGTCTATATCATTAAATAAACAAAAGCTGAATTAAATTGGGTGTGATACTGAATGATCATAAACTAGTATTTCAGAAATGTTATGGGCTGTTCTGTTCACTATAAGCTGCTTGCAGTTGACAAAGCTGAGGTGAAATAGTATCACAGTATCACAGTATGCTGGAGATTGGAAGGGACCTCAAAAGATCATCTAGTCCAATCCCCCTGCCAGAGCAGGAACACCTAGATAACGTTACACAGGAATGTGTCCAGGCGGGCTTTGAATGTCTCCAGGGAAGGAGACTCCACAACCTCCCTGGGCAGCCTGTTCCAGTGTTCCGTCACCCTCACTGAGAAGAAGTTCCTTCTCAAGTTTAAGTGGAACCTCTTGTGTTCCAGTTTGCACCCATTACCCCTTGTCCTATCATTGTTTGCCACTGAGTAGAGCCTGGCTCCATCCTCGTGACACTCCCCCTTTATATATTTATAGACGCTTATAAGGTCACCCCTCAGTCTCCTCTTCTCTAAACTATAAAGACCCAGCTCCCTCAGTCTTTCCTCATAAGGGAGATGCTCCACTCCCTTAATCATCTTGGTTGCCCTGCGCTGGACTCTCTCCAGCAGCTCCCTGTCCTTCTTGAACTGAGGGGCCCAGAACTGGACACAATATTCCAGATGGGGTCTCACCAGGGCAGAGTAGAGGGGAAGGAGGACCTCTCTCGACCTACTAACCACCGCCCTTCTAATACATCCCAAGATGCCATTGGCCTTCTTAGCCACAAGGGCACAGTGTTGGCTTAGTAATTTACACAGTGTTAGTAATTTACTCTTTTTTTCCCCCTTAAAAGGAAAGTGGGCTGTGCAGGGTGTCTCCTTGGTACAAGACCAGGTTTTCCAGAACGCTGCTATTGTTTCCAACTGGCAGTGCTATTCATATGGATCCATTCTAAACACTCCCTTTTATTTCTGTAGTTATTGTGCCTGTCACCAAAAAAAAAAACAAAACAACAAAAAACAAACCAACTATCCAACCAACCAGATTAGAATGTTTTATAATCTTTAAACATTTTAGGTGGTTTACTTCTTTATGGCCCAATTGCCTCAAGATCCTGTACCTGTAATTATAGTTGTTCTTCATGGTTGGCCTGATTTTTCATTTTATAGACATTTAACACAGACTTCTACTTTCTATCACAAGTGCCCTGTCTTCACACAGTCCCATTTTTTGCTTCCCCATCAGACTTGACAGCTTTGAAGGCGTCTGATGGAGCTTGTCCACTAGCTTAAATATATGCATGAATAGTGATGTTAGCAGAATTAAGACGTTTATATTTTTCAGGGCTGCTACAGTTAGAAAACGAGATGCTGCTTCCTCAGTGTTTAGTTGTACATTCTTGAGCCTGCTGCTGGAGCCAGATGACCCACATGCTGGTGCATTCAGAAGTTTTCTGTTTGTGTGTGGAAAAAAACATCCTACAAGAAGTCAGCTACACAGCATACCTTTTTTCTGTTTTGCTTCATGCACAAAAGATTTGGAGTTGTTTGTAGCCTCTGTTAATAGTGTATGACTAGTTCTAATCAAGGTGCAAGAATTTTCTCCTAACTAATTTTTCAAATGCAAGTCTTAAAAAACCCCTCAGTCGTATCT